AGTACATTTCTTGAAGTCGAGAAATAATTAAAAGCAATACTATACAACCACCTTTAGACAAGCGTGCTAACTTCTGAAAAAAATATAAATAGTATTCTTTTTCTTGCATACACAAACATATTTGACTGTATTTCAAACATTTAAACTGTGAATTTTGTCTTAATGTGTAGATTTTAATTTAATTTTAATGCATGGAGCCATTATTTTATAAAAGCTTCACTTTTAGTGCTGTATTCTGTTATTTGAATTCAGTAGCTGTAAGTGGTCAACTTGAGTTGGATGTCCTTGAGGTAGGCAACTAATGACCTAGATAAGCTAAGGGCAGTACAAGCGGAGAAAGACCATAATTGACCAAGCAAAACAACAAAACTCACCCCCAAAACACTGTTCATGAATCATAGTCATATCTCTGCCTTGAAAGGAATACTCTGTTATTTACAACTTACTGACAAAGATGTTAAGTTGTTGTGCATAACAGGGAAAATGTCTTTAATGCCATGACAACATAAAGATAATAGTGTCCTTCAAACTCTTTTATGAAAAAAATACTAGTGCATCAATAGGGCATGAGCAATACTGTAGAAATGTATGAAAAAATGGCTTAAAGTGCTTCACTGTGTTTTGAAGGTCAAACTGTATACTTTTTACTGTAAATACTAAAACAATATGGCAAAGAAGTATACCTGGACAAATGCAATAATGGACTTTTTTTAAAGTGAAAGTGCACTAAAGACATTATAGATACATGGAGGACTTTCAAAAGAAGCAAGTGGGTGCATTTATGTCTAGAGACAAGAAGCATGAGATTGGAAAAGAGACAGGAGAAAACATTTGACTCTTGTTTATCATGACCTCCAATTAAAGTAATGTGGCAGCTGAAGTGGCACCGTGGGCAGAAACGCATCTCTATCTTCAACTTTTTTTTTTTATCTTCAAGTCTTCAGTTGGGTCGAACATACAGTAAACAACAAACATAACTTAAATGAGCTCTGAATGTATATATATATATATATATATATATATATATATATATATATATATATATATATTAGATCAGGGACATCGCACATCACAAACCTATTAGTCCAGTAGTTACATCATCTAAAGATCAAAGATGCAATAAAGCCACAGCTGACTAGGTAAAACAGTGACCCATAGACTGCATTTTTGGGACCATATAGCATGTTTCCAATCAGCTGTGCGGCACGTGATGCCCAAAAATGTTACCTAAGTATACAGCTCACTACGATTTGAGACAGCCATTAAATCACAGAAGCAATTTCACAACATGCTTGGAGGGTCATTCCACAAATAGGGTGCCTTTGCTGTCCCTATAGTGCTAATATGTGTAAACAATGTCTTACACCACCTTTTATGTTATTACAGTATGCATTTTCCAACACATCAACAAAATCCAGACCCCCCCATCTATATTCTTTTATAGGCTGTAGGCTAACATTGAATAGCCTACTGAATATTAGTAGTAATATCAGCATAAACAATTAAAATATGTAACTTAAGTAGGCTATATATAACAGCATACATTTGCCTTGAGATGGCATAATGCTATATTAACACTTAAAATATTCTTTGTCTGACAGATTTTGAAAAAGACACTTACTTTTATAAGCTTTTTGAAAAGGAAAAAGCACACATTTCGTGGAATGCCCATGGAAACAGACCTCATCATCAAACTAAATCAACTGAGCGCAGCATGTCCATATTCCCGGTCTCTTTTAGCACATAACATGGATAAGTTCTGTAGAATAATAGCTGATCTAGGGTGTTATTCGACAGTCCAGACGTGTTTAAATGTTCGCAGAGACCTGCATTGGCGGAGTCGCGCGCTGCATTGACACGCGCTCCAAAACACACCGGCCGGCATCACATCATCAGTCCGCACAGAAAAAATAAAAAATAAAAAATAAAAAAATATTTTTGATTAAAAAATAATATCGCTCCACATCTTTGAAACATAACTGTTCTCTCAAAACGGGTGAGAAAAAAAAGGAATGATCCAGATGTCCAAATGATAAATACAAAGAACGAAAGAAAAACAAAAATTAAAAACAAAACAAAATCGTGTCCAGCACTTGCTCCTATACAGGATATTGTACCAAATAAAGAAACGAATACACTCAAAAGTTAACCAAAACCTGACGTTCCCCCTCTCCAAGAAGGTAAAACATTAAAACCGTCTGTCAGTTGAATTCAGAAGAAGAAGAACAAAATTCAAGCACTTCTCAAATCAAAAGAGGACGTAGAAAAGAGGTAAAGATGAAGAAAAGAGAAAATTAAAAGAAAGTACTCACCGGTGAAAATGTCAGAGAGCAAAAATGTTGAAAGAGCAACAAGAGCTAGTGAGTGAGGAGGAGCTGTCAGTGTCAGCGGCGCAGTGACCGGCGAAAGCAGCGGCTCAACAGTATAAACAGCGCTGGTGGTGTGGAGCAAACCATCGCGAGGGCGCAGGGGAAGACACATCATGGTTCTACTTAAAGGTGCACTCAGTAATTTTGTAATTAAACTCAGTCATTTGCTAATTAAAAAGTTTAACACGTAAGTAATGCACGTAAGTGTTTGCTATTAACATAACATGCTATTAACATTAACATTAAAGAGTCCAGTCAGAAGCCTTAAAGGTATTTAAATATTTATTTTTTATGGCAACATAAACGACATTTTATACAATCCCATTTACAGACAGGCATAAAATAGTCCAAATATAAGACAGTATAAAGGTTCCACAGCCTTCTCAATAGGCATTTAAAAAAGAACTGTAAAAAATATTGTTGGTTTAACTTAAAAAATTAAGTAACCACCTGGTTGCCTTAAAACTTTTAAGTTCATTGAAATTGAAAATTTGAGATAATACAATGGAGATTGATTTAATAATCAGAAACTCAAAATATTATGTTATCTGAACCACATAAATGATCTAAGTTGATTTGACAGAAGAAAAAACGTTATGATAAAAAAATCATGTTTTTTTTTTACAGTGTAGTTTTTCCCAATAGTTGTTGATATGGGTAAAATTAAATATATATACACAGGTATCAATACATGATTGTTTTACACTACTTAGTTAAAGCTGTTTTATTCATGGTGAGTTGACATCACATAACTAAGCTGTCATGCAATTGAAAGTTAATAATTCAAGAGTCTGTCAAGTATTCCTATAGAACTTCAATTCAGTGCTCAAACCCAACAAACATATTGAATTTATACCAAATGTCAAATAAAAGTCTCAGTGGACAGTGATGTGTACATGTTGTGCAGTGGATGTCCAGACAACACATTTATCATTTTAATTTATTAAACTGTCGTAAAAAAAAATATTTTGACAACCATCAGACAATGTCAACCATTTCAGAATGTTGTCAACATTGCAGCAATATTCTGTTTGCTGGGAATACTATGTGAAATAACTTTGTTTTGGAATTGCATATTGTACTATTTCTGCAGAAAATACATTTCATACTGTACACAGTATGCATAATGAATACTGCAAAGAAACATGCATATTATGACAGCTACTGTATGTTATTTCAAAAACTGAGAAATATGGCAGAAGGTCTGAAGTCCATAGCAGCTTTCACGGGCCAAGGATCGCCCAAAGGCCGTCTGACTGACATGTAATCACAGTTCATTTTGTTCTGCATCATGTTTAGGGGCTTAAAATGTAATGTTGATGTCCCTACAATAACAGATGGGTGTGTAAAACTCTTGGACGTATTTTAAAGAGTATGTGCAATGAACTTTACATGTAAGTCTGGGCTAGCCCTCGAGAAAACAAAAGGCTCACATGAGCTAAGCATATGTAACAGCAACATCCGAGATGCAGCACACACCTCACTTTTACTCAGTTTACGGTAAAATACCAGCAGCTGTGGTTGCCAGAAATTTACAGTATAAAATACGGTAGCAAGACTTCACTGTAGCAAGGTTTTACTTAAAATTTACAGAAATAAACCGTATTTCATTATCTGATATAATGTTAAATTATAAATCAATTGAAATATTAATATCTGTTTTGTACCACTGCAATACATTGACAACCAACAATCACAACAGTGATGAGAGACACATGATATATGGAAGCTCATCACATGTAGCTCTTACACAAGTAACTTAATATTAATATATAGAAGCTGCACTGTGTCATTCACTCAAACAAGAAACACCGTAACATACATGACATTTTAGAAAAAGGCAACAAACATTAATTTAACAACATTAAATGTCACATAAAATGTACATAACTGATTAGAAAAAGACTAAGCAAACTATGAAGAAACAAGTTATTTCAACAAAAATACATCAAATGCAAAGTGTCACACAGGGAATTGTGGGAATGTCAATTTACGTTTTTTCACTGTAAATTATACAACGAGTTGTTCATTTTCACTTTAAAAACTGTTAAATGAACAGTATTTTACAGTAAAATTACATGAAATTTACCTTTTGATCTATCACAGTTATTTACCATATAGTAAGGAAAGGTTCTTCTGTTAACCAATTAACAGTTTTTCACTGTAGCATTTCTTTCACCGTTAAAATCACGATCATTTTTTACAGTTTCCTAATTTGAACGGTTAAAATATTATTAAAGACTTAAAAAGAATAATCAAACATTCGCTCACTTTTAATGATGCTCAGATATCACTAAACCTTTTTCATTTATGGAGTCAAATAAAATAACGAGGTAATACATATGAAAAATGTATTTAATTTAATCTTGTTGTGTTGCGTATTATTGGAAAACCACCATTGGACTGATATATGGGCTTACACATACTTTTGAAAATCCAGCATTTAGTTGATCCTGATTCTTTGTCACAGTTATAAACCCGACGGGTTTCTTCTTCCATGAGGGGGTTTGGCGTCACGGCGGCTTTGTTTCCAGGTGGACCGTTAAAGAACGCGACACACACATCTCCCGGAAATCCTGTAAGATTCCACCAACGATGATGTCGAAACTCCTGAAGTGTTTCCAATTTTGTGCGTCATATGCATCAGACGTTGATGCATGACGTCTGAGGCTGAAACAGAGGGGCACAAGGTAAAATATTTCAATTTGTAGCAATGTCAGATTACAAAACTTGTTGGACTATTTATGTGCACATCAAATATCTTAAGAGATTAAAAAACGATTCGTATCTATTATATAGTTTCTTAGGAAAAGACCATAATCAAAAGTTCACAACACACAAACAGCTTATCTACGCACACACACACAAACCTCTCTTAAAGATATGAGACAATGCCAGAAAGTGACACTTAGGGCAAGGATTACCAAGATGTTTTTCTCTGGTATTTACCATATCTCCGTGGGGCTTATGCGGCCATTTCACATTTATTTTTTGTTTATGTTGTGATGGAGACATCATACTGTGTGCAAGCAACAGCTTAGCCTAGAGCCCAGAGCTATACGATAAAATTAAACTGAAAGCTCAAGATTTTAATTCAATTCCTCAGAGGGAAGTAAAAATGTATCAGGACAAGCAAATATAGATATGCCACTATTAATGATAACATGGGAGGTAAGAGGCATAGGGGATACTCTGAGGGAAAATTGGAACGGCAAAGGGGGGGACAGAGTAGAAAAGGAAAATGGAAAGGCAGTAAGTGAGAAAACAACTGAATGAGGATTTAGGAAATAACCTACCAAAAACAGAAGAGCAGCAGAGAGAGAATCCCATGCATCAATAACGCATATTAGTCCTTGCACATCTGCTCCTCCAAATTCACAGCTTCTCACCATCCCTTGAGAGTTCAACTCTCTCCATAGTGCTCTCAAGATTTGTTGAATCCTGTTAATGGGGGGGAAAAAAAACAACAGTAAAGAAGTGGAGACAAAAGACTGGATATATGTGTGGATTTGTCACACTCTGATTTGCTTATTTAAAGCGCACTGAGAAACAGAAGCTAAATGCCACATAGGTCCTCTGAGAAAACACCACAACAGTATCAAAAAGAGCCTAGATTTTATGCTCGCCTGAAAGAGGGCTGAGAGAAACCATTATAGAACAAAGACAAAAAAAGAAGACTTGGGATTTCGTCTATAACTTGTTTGCAACTTCATTTTTTTTCCAGTCAGTCATTAGTCACAAAGGCAATTCTGATGCCGTGGCAGTATTTCAAAAGCAACAACTTGGGTAACACAAAAACCTGAGCTGGTGGTAGCCCAAGATAGCCCTGTAACTCAGCCTGAAGGCCAGAATCATAAATATACAGTGTTTGGGTGAGGGTGTTTGACATTTTTCCAGTGAAATAAATGGTTCACACTGGGTGTATTACTCATTCTACTGAATATTACAGGCTAAAGGAGGTCTGGACTGTCAAAACGCTGACAGCGATACTTCCTCTTACGTTGCTCTTGCTTAAAAAATTCAGGTGGAAACATCCCATGCTAATTTGGTTGTTTTATTTAACTCGTCATCCAGAGGTAATTATGCTGAGCGATGGCTGGCCGTTAACTAATACAGCCCCTCGCTGCCTGTAAACATATTGACGCATCTTAATAATTGTTTGACGCTGCACTGAACACCTAAAGTCAACACTGAGGAACCTTTTAAATTAGGACAATCCTGGGCATGTACAAAAAGCAAAAAGGAAAGGTCAGATGATGCCATTGCACCGGAGATCATGTGTTAACACATCATCAAACACAAGGCGGATAGTGTGATGGAGGTGAAGAAGACTGAGAAACTGCCAGATGTCCAGGATTGCTGAGCTCTGAAAGCAAGCTAGAACAAAAATATGGACAAATAAGACAATTGGCATTTTAAAAATGGTTAAAGGGATTAAAGCGATAGGTCACTTGAAAAAATGACAAATCTGTCAAAAATATTTAGCATATTCACTGTAAAAAATAATCCTGTAAAAAAACGGTAAACTACTGGCAGCTGTGGTTGCCAGCACCATACCGTAAAAATATGGTGTGTTACCGTTTTTAAAATAAACAGCTAAATACCGTTTTGTCAGCTACAGTATTATGCTGTTAAAGGGATACTCCACTTTTTTTGGAAATAGGCTCATTTTACCACTCCCCCAGAGTTAAACAGTTGAGTTTTACCGTTTTCAAATCCATTCAGCCGATTGTCTGATTTCTGGTCTCATTGACTTCCATAGTAGGAAAAAAAATATACTATGGGAGTCAATGAGACCAGAAACTGTCAGGTTACTGATATTCTTCTAAATGTCAGAAAATCGGCTGAATGGATTTGAAAACGGTAAAACTCAACTGTTTAACTCTGGGGGAGTGGTAAAATGAGCTTATTTAAAAAAAAAAAGTAGAGTATCCCTTTAAATTACAGTATATAACTGTAAATTAACAGCATTTAGCTGTAGCTGACAAACGGTATTTAGGAATTAATTTTAAGAACAGTAACGCACCATATTTTTACGGTATGATGCTGGCAACCACAGCTGCCAGTAGTTTACCGTTTTTTTTTACAGTGCAATACACCCTCTATTGGGTCAAATATGGACAAACTCAAACATTGGGTTAAAATGTAATTTTAAAATGTAACCCAATGGCTGGGTTTGCCCATATTTGACCCAAAATTGGGTTAAAACAACCCAGCATTTTTAGAGTGAATTATCAGGCATTATAAACATCAAAATGCAATGCATCTGTGTGCATTTAAATAACACTAACACAATAACTCCAGTTATTTGTATCTCTGTGACCCCCTAACGGGTCAACAAAAATTAATCTGTGGCGGAATTTCCATTCCTGAAAATCTCTGCAGTGCTTTGTTTTAATTAATTGGGCATGAATTTATGAGATCTTAAAATAAACACTAATGTGCAATCTATTTTTTCCAGTATTTGAACTATGCGACAAAAACAAAATTGTGGCTTATATTCCATGTTATTTGCTTCGCTCCTAAACTGATGTCCTTTTATGGACCTAAAACACTCATCCCCTTATAGACACAATATGCCAAACAGTGTGAAAATATACAATGAAGTTTGCATTCTTATGATGTTTATCATTGAAGAGTCAGTGGCTGTGGGTTGAACTTTAGGTTAATGAGCTACTCAATAATGTATTGATATGTTCCTCAGGTCAGTGATGCACAAGGATCTCAATGACGCGTGAAGTCAGAGGGTATAACCTTAAAATATATAATGCACGTTAGCTCATACCTATCTACCAGATATAATGTGTGTATTTCTTCCTATACTAAAGCATACCTGAACATCTGACAGGAGTTTAAATCCAAGGGTACAAGGCTGAAATATAATTTAATTTAATTTTGTTATGGCATCAAACAGTGCACTGCATATCTAAGCTATCTGTTTGTTGCATATCTAAAAGCATTTAGAGGAATGTTTTAAAAAAAAGAAAAACTGTGGAACTGATTCAGACTTTTGATGTTTGTTTGCTCAGATTTGGACTGTCGATATGTCGCAGACAGTGCACACAGGAACATTTCTTGGTTCACACATCATTGATGTAGAAATGGCAAGGGTACATTGAAAACGAGGACTATTGTAAGAGGGAAAATGTACTTTCTGCTTCCAGTTTTGATGTCTCTGAATGAAAATGTATGCCAAATCAAGGATGTTAAGAGGCTAAAAGCAGGTTTAGAACAAGCCTCTTGAAGTCAACAGGGTGCGAATTTTAAAAAGACGATAACACGGTGTATACAGGGAACACCGATTTTTGTCGTTTTTGTCTGTACTGACAGCACTCCAAATACAAAAAATGAGCTCAATGTTAAAATTGACCAGAGTTCTCCTTTAATTTCTCTCTCTTTTTAATCTTGCCATCTTTAAAATGTCTTCACTGTCACTTTTTTTTTCATAAATTACCGTCTTTAAAAGGATACATCCATCCCAAAAAAACAAACAAAACAAAAACACCATAAACGAAGTCCTTAAGATCTGTAGTATTGACACTAGTGGACTTTGTTTGGCATTTGGTGAGAAGCACCTGCCCCTCCTTTCAATGACTTCTCCAGGTACCTGATAGCAGGGAGTCCCTGGCATTTAAGAAGGGTCACACATTTGAGGACAGTAGTGTATAGATCTTAGATCAGACTGGTAGTTCAAAAGAGGTTGAGCCAATTTGTCAGCTACTCACAACACACCATAACATCGGTACTCTTTTACATCTTAAAACTGGCATCTCATCTCAATTCACACCTTAAGGGAGGGCAATTCCCGCTGTGCCTCCAAGTCTCATGAAACCCCAGTGCTCAAATGTCTTTAAATGCCAGGGATTCCCCATCAGAAGCTGCTGTGCTGAAAAATCCAGTTTCTTTTGATTCAATTCTTGAAAATGCTTACATCTATATATGCCTTTAGAAAAGCAGGTCAATAGACTACAGTAGAGCTTTAGCAGAGTAAAAAAAAATTCATCCAAAACTCTCTGATGTCTACTGTAAGCCAGTAAACCTAAAAATAAATTGCATGATAACATCTAGATGGCCTGGTTTTACTGTCAAATCAATTATTTAACATATCAAATGTTAAATAGCCATATCAAATAGCCATACCTGGCTATCCAGTATTATAAAAAGTATTTTTTAAGTATCAGGTAGAAATGGCTCTTTGAGGTAACAAGGGCACGTTTGTATTTTTTAAAGTGACGTTTTTATTTATCTTTACTCTTACATCTGGATAAGGTACTTTGTTATGCACTTGTCAAACAACAAACCCAACTGTTAAGAAGCTAAACAAATGGACATTGACAAACCAATTTTGTGTATTTGTTGCTATCATAACAGACTCAAGAGAAAAGTTTGTTTTGTGAAGTTTGTTAAAATATATATTTTCCATATCAGCTTTCCATATCAACAAATGGTCAAAGGGTTAATGAGCAAAACTTCAAAATCCTTGATTTTCCCCTATTCACATTATTTAAGCCTATATATAAACGCCACTGTTAAAAAAACTATGATGTTTCAATTATTTACCATGCTAAATTAAGCAGATGACATCAGTCTTCTAATCAAATGAGCATGTAAGGAACATTGTGTTCTGTGCCATTTAATATATAATATCATAACAAGAGACATGACAAGAGACATGAATTTTATCAAGTAAAGAATAATAAAGACAGCATTCAACTCAAAATAAGGTTGTCTCAGTAGTACAATATTAAGTGCCTCAGAAACAGAATAAATAGAAAAATAGGCTAATAATTCAAAAAACTTTTACTTGGAATACATGTCTACATGTCTGTAATTTGCTCTGGCTCCCTTCCTGTTCGCAGGAGTGATGAGATACTTAGTAGACTGTGTAGACACTCAATGCCTGGCTGTCTGCAAAATAATATACTGTAGAATTTCATAGACAATTGAAAAAAATGTTTTTGGGGCAGAGCTGACCTGTTGAAAAGAGATGGTATTCATCCATCCTGGTGCTGCTCTTCTCTCTAGTAATATGGCACATAGTCTTAGAGCTCAAACATGAATTGGGGCCCAGATCAGGAAGCAGACAGACTGGCTAAACCAACCGTCTGCAAGCTGTCTCACGTCACTGAGGTCAGATAAATCCCATCACATAGAGACTCTTTCACCGGGATATCATCATATAGAGACTCCTAAACCGACTTAAGGGTAACATTTTTATTCTAAATTACATCATATGCTTTAGTTGCAATGACAAATGCGGAACAGTAGGTTTATGTGTTCATGACATCAAGGCTAGATTATTGTAATTCTATTATAGGTGGTTTCCCTGCACCCTTAAGAGCTCATTCAAGTACTGGGGAGCTAAACCATTTAGTGCTTTGTAAGTCATCAGAAATATGAAAAATGTATACAATGTTTAATAGGGAGCCAATGCAATGTTG